TCAGTGCAATCATGGGAATATCATTATCACCTCTCGAAATCCAGGACTGTGTGTTTATGCTGGATCCCACTCCCTTGTGTCGGACATGAAAGAGGCAAGATGCAGTGGCATTGTTACTCAAGAGTGGTTCACAGAAGGCCACAATCCATACTGAACAAATTGCAACAGAAATTGTGAAGGTAAGACAATTAGACCTGGGTACTCATTCAATTTCTCAACACTTTCATAGTCATTGCACTATCTTCCTCTGGCAATTGTTCAGGCTGGCGCATTCATATCAAAATCTCAAGATCTTGATGGCTACTTGGCTCTCTATACAAAGAACCAAGCACAACTACTCAGTAAAAAGCCTGCTCAGTCTCATGATGGTTATGCGTGGACGGTGTACACAACATGGCAAATGAGTTTTGACCGGCTCACACCACTAGCTGCCATGTTCCTGCAGCATTGTTCATTCCTCCATCACAATGGAATCTCAGAGGAAATCTTCATTTATGCATCCCAGTACATGTTTCCTTCTGTTGGTCCATCCAAAGAAGAACTGCAGGAGCCTCTGGATTTCCTCTCACATTTTCTGGGACCAACTGGTGAATGGGACACTTTACAGTTCTTGGATGCTACCAATGAGGTCCAAGCCTATTCATTGATTAGCTTTGATGCAGAGAAGAAGCTCTTTTCTATCCATCCGTTGGTACATTCTTGGAGTCAAGCAACAGTCCACAATCCAAAAAGATACATGTCCACCATGGGGTCTATACTTGGAATGGCTATTTCAAAACGCCCACAGCAGAATACGCAATTGGCGAGTCTGCTATTGTGTCCACATGTTGACTTGGCTGTACAGATGGATGCAGAAGTACCTTTGGTTTTCAGGGATCAATATGCATTAATATATTGGGAAGGTGGAAAATACAAACAAAATGAGAAGCTACTGGAAGAAGTGCTGGAGAAACAGAAACAGCTCCTGGGTGACAATCATCCAGATGCCCTGCGTACCATGGGTAATCTGGCCAACTCATACTCAGACCTGGGGGAGCATCAAAAGGCCAAAGAACTCATTGGTATTGTGCTAGAGAAACGGAAACAGCTTCTGGGTGACAATCATCCAGACACCCTGGTTGCCATGGGTCATCTGGCTAGTACATACTCACACCTGGGAGAGCATGAAAAGGCCAAAGAACTCGAAGTTATTGTGCTGGAGAAACAGAAACAGCTTCTGGGTGAGAATCATCCAGACACCCTGCGTACCATGGGTAATATGGCCAGCTCATACTCACACCTGGGAGAGCATCAAAAGGCCAAAGAACTCAATGTCATGGTGCTGGAGAAACAGAAACAGCTCCTGGGTGACAATCATCCACACACCCTGGATACCATGAGTAATCTGGCCATCTCATACTCAGACCTGGGAGAGCATCGAAAGGCCAAAGAACTCAAGGGTATTGTGCTGGAGAAACAGAAACAGCTTCTGGGTGACAATCATCCAGACACCCTGCATACCATGGGTAATATGGCCAGCTCATACTCAGACCTGGGAGAGCATCACAAGGCCAAAGAACTCAATGTTATTGTGCTGGAGAAACAGAAACAGCTCCTGGGTGACAATCATCCACACACCCTGAGTACCATGGGTAATCTGGCCAGCTCATACTCAAACCTGGAAGAGCATCAAAAGGCCAAAGAACTCAATGTTATGGTGCTGGAGAAACAGAAACAGCTTCTGGGTGACAATCATCCAGACACCCTGCGTACCATGGGTAATCTGGCCAGCTCATACTCAAACCTGGGTAAGCATCAAAAGGCCAAAGAACTCACGGGTATTGTGCTGGAGAAACGAAAACAAGTTCTTGGTGACAATCACCCAGAAACCCTGTATACCATGGGTAATCTGGCCAGCTTATACTCGCACCTGGGAGAGCATCACAAGGCCGAAGAGCTCATGGGTATTGTGCTAGAGAAACAGAAGCAGGTTCTGGGTGAGAAACATCCAGATACCCTGAATACCATGCGTAATCTGGGTGTTGTACAGAGGAAATAGCAGAAAGTGATGTTGATGAGTACACCAGTTGAAACGATTATTTATTCATTGAAATTCCAATATGTGTAATGAAATGCCTGTGATAAACAGCTGATGTACATACAGAGTGAAAGTATGCATTCATTGGATGGAAAAAGTGAGTTTGTGCACTTAGCCACACACACATGAGAGCCTTTTGTTTGAAGTGTCTCGAATCCAGGTCCAGATATAACTGCACTATTTACTTTGAATGACAGATAATGTGAGTTCACTGGTTTACCTACCAACTTTTGCAACAACACACTGAACACTTGACCAGCTATAAATTCTCACACTTGGATTGCTATACAGCTGCCCCCAGCAAGATATTCCTTATTGTTGTGCTCACTTCAAAATCCCAACAAAGACAACTGTCCCATCAGAGACGGGGAATTTGGGCACCTTAGAGGTTTCAATGTCTTGAGAAATCTTTCTCTGACACTGTAAGCTCTGCATGATGAGCACATCCTGCAGACGATTTGAGCCCTGGCCATTGTGAATTTACGTCCATCAGAAGCCCAAAAAAGAAATGGCTATCCAGAAAAATTGTAGTTCCTCGATGATGATGATGATGATGATGATATCCAGATACTAACTACATACAGGCCGGAGTAGGCTACAGTAGTTTTCGCGGTACACAGGTATGTAAGAGTCCAAAGGGTATTTAAGATGTCATATTCATAAGTAAAAGAAGAGACGAGGCACGGAAAGTCGAGGGTATGAAAGGTAACACAAGATGTGTAAGTTTGCAGGGGTGTTTGTAAGGGAGATGGTAACACATGTTGTTGGGGGGTTGGGGAGAGGGGATATTATGTGATATGTAAAGTAAGTCCCAAGATTGAGAAAGAGAGATATGAATAAGAGAAAGGGAACTAAACCTCTAACTGGAACCTGCCCGTGGCCTCGACAAACTTAGCGAAAGTTGGCAGGACTTTTGGGCCGTTGAGGAGGGGGGCGAACATGGAGGGACCCGAAGAAGCCCGCCAAATAACAGGCATTGTAAAGGGGGCGTCAGAGGGGTTCCCAAGCCGGGCAGTCAAGGATGAAGTGCACCCTATTCTCCCGGGCCGCACCGCATGCCTCACAAGCCGCCGCGTGGTAGAGACCCGCCCTGAAGCGATAGGCGTTCAGTGGGGAGAAGTCCATGCGGAGTTGAGCAATGATGGATGAGGTTCGCCGGGCTGAGCGAGGAGGAAGAGTACAGCGCGATAGGGTGAGCGACGGAGGGGATCGGTCGACGGAGCAAGTTTTGGACTTTTCCAGCGGACGGCCCACCCGTCGAGAATTTGGCAGTGTATCAGGCGGCGAATTGTGGTGAGGGAGGTGTGAAGCTAGGGATCTGGTTCCAGGGTGGTGGCGTGTTTCGCTGCGACATCGGCCAACTCGTTCCCGACGGTGCTGATGTGAGCCGGCATCCACAAATTGAGAATGGTCAGGTCGGGGGAGCAACACTGCACATGGCGGACCAGCTTGTCGTACGAAATTGCGCGAAACCGTCCAGAGCGGGGGGCGGTTGAGGAGATGCCTTTGAGAGCCGCCTGTGAGTCAACAACACACAGAATGTTTGTGTGCTCCATCTCAAGCGCTCGACTCACCACCTGCACCAAGCCCTCCATCTCCCCTTCACAAACCTGCGCCCGCCCAAGCGGCGCCACCAACCTCTCAACCTCCACCTCACCCTCCACCCGCTGTGATACGGACTGCGGTTCCGTGAGTTGTCTGACCAGGTGTGGTATAGTCAGGCAAAAGCACGAAATTAGTTCGTCCTCTAGAGGGAAATTTCTCTGGCGCGGAGATTCGTCTGCTACTGTAGTACACGCAATGTTATGTATTTTAAAATGGTGGTGGTGGTGGTACAGTTCCTTCCGTACGGAATGAACAGTCTCGCTAGGTTCCTCGAGGATTTATTTCCTCGTTGGGGGGCTAGCCTTCCAGGAAAGCTTCGATCAGAGGGTTTTCTACACTTGCGCGAAGGGCAACGCTCCGCAAGATGAACGCCGTTCCGTGTCGAGATGCCTGGGCTATATGGTTCCTTTTCTTATCTCCTTGCCTCGTATAGGTTGGGCAAGCAGTATCTTCAGAACTGTTGAACACAACGCGTATGAGTTATAGCGTAGTCCTTCGTAACCCGGCTTTTTTTACGCTGTGGTGGTACGGCCAAGGAGTGTCAATTCCGTGGGCGTGCATGTGGCGAAGTGGTGAGAATGAATCGTGGAGTGGTTATAATCGAATTGGATAAGCCTTCCGCGACGATGGGGGTGGTACTCCGCGCACGGATCTGCGTTCGAGGCCCAAGCCAACGGTTACACGCTGCTAAGTTGGGCTGCTGGCCGTTTGGAAGTTTCGCCGCGCGTTCTACAACCACGCAAGCTATCAACGCCGATGTTTTCTATAATTCCTTCTGGCTCGTTCTATTAAGCCGGAAGTACTACGGACAAGCCTCCTTGATTGAAGCTTCGGTCCACTTTGACCTTGGTTGGTCCCACGGAGGGCGGCGCAACCTGAGCGAGTATGTATTTGACTAGATTCTCACCCCGTATGATCGAGGGGGAGTAGCTTAGGTATGAGCAGTGGGAGGTAATAAGATGCATTCTCCTACGGACGTCCCTGCTTTTATACTAATTTCTTTCCGACCGCCGTGCGCGACCTTATTCCTCATTCGTCCACGGACCCCTTTCAACACTGCCCTCCTTGCCTCGCGGCGGGGATCTCCATGCTTTCCCGTGCGCTTGAAGGAGATACCTAACTCACGGACTGTAACGTTGCTGCCCGTGCGCCCAATTTCCGTACTCCGTAGCTCGCACCTCCTTCCGTAGCTTTGATATGTGCCGCGTGGCGACACTTTCCGTACTCCGTGTCGGCGATGTTTACCGTTCCGTGTTCTGTGTATGCATCATGTAATTTTCGTGAGGACCGTGGCGATTTGGGGATTTTTGCAGTGGTAGGCCTGGTGGCGTAACTGGTAACGCGCACATTTACTGTGTTTTCCTCGTAATATTGGAATGTGAGACCCTCGTTCGATTCGAGGTCAGGTCGTGTACGCCGGTCCTGGTGACTTTTTCCCACGGGAGAGAATCAACCGTATGTCGACTGCTTTTCTTTAGTGTTTGTAGAGTAGACCTGGTGGCGTAATGGTAACGCGCGCATTCGCAGTTGACTTTTCCTCATAATATAAAAATGCGAGTCCCTCGTTCGATTCAAGGTCAGGTCGTGTTTGCGACATTCCTTCCTTTTTCTGTGCGTGCTCCGTAGTGCGTGTTTGCCTTTTTCATCCACGGAGGGAGCGTATCACAAAGTGATAGCTCACACCGCACCGCTGCGCCTCCTGCCCGACCTTCCAGCAGCGAACCGTCCGTCAACCAAGTGGAGTGTCGGTACAGTGGGTCCCGTAGGGCAACCTCCAGAGCACACAGTGTGTCCTCCTTCTGCGGGATAATGATGGAGACAGGGAGCACGTCGTCCCATGGCGCCGCATATATGGGAAGGATGGGTTCCATCCCCAGTGACGGGTTGAAGTCCATCTCCGGACCTTTGATGACTCGGGAAGTGCATCGTTGACCCACAGCTGGTACTCCACCCGGCCACTTCAGCCCGGTATCCGCTCAACGAGGTGGAGGACAGAGCAGGACTTGAGGGACTTGGGTGCCCAGAAGATCGCAGAATGGACGAGCGAGCGAAGAACGTGGGAGGAAGGGAGGGACAGGTAATACGCAACCGTCATGAGCGCGTCCCGCTCAATTCGTAGTTGTGCCGGAAGGAGAGCTGCTTCCTTCTCCAGCGCCGCAGTGATGCAACGCGCCGTCAACCGATTGATCTTGTCTAGCGGTAGGAATGCACCGGCTGGAAGTGGGAGGAACAAAGAGACCCCGTAGTCAGCACAGGGAAGAACGGTGGAACGGATGAGGTCACAGATAAGAAGCGGTCGTAAACCCCAAGAAGTGTGCATCACCGCTATGGAGGCATTAAGCGTCCTTGCTGCAGACACCACCCGCGCTGCTATGTGCACCTTTCCCAACAGATTATCATCCAGCACCACCCGCACCCACTTCACCACCCTCACCGGCATGACGACGCAGCTGCCAAAAATGGACACCGAACTTGGAGAAGTCCATGTTTCTGTGACGTGTGTGCATCAACTCCGCCTTGCTCTCCTCAAACTCCGCCCCATCCTCCTTCTCCCACTCCTTCGCCACCACTCCCACCCACTCCAGGTTCTGGATGTTTTCGAGTATGGATTTGCTGGCCCTCGAGATTGATATATCATCTACAAAGCCCTCAGACCAAGAGAGCGCGGAAATGTTGACAAAGAGAGAGCTGCCAGTCGGCGGAGCAGACGGTTGACATACACGAGGAATATGACCACCGAGAAAGCGGATCCCTGTGGTGCACTCTTGTCGATGAGTCGGTAGGTCACCGCCCCCTTCCCATCGACGACTATGGTGACTTTATGGCCGTTGAGGAACACCAGAACCCAGAGCACCCCCCCCCCCCCCCCCCTCGGAGAACCCCAACACTGCCATCTCCTCTGCCACCACTGTTAAACGCACCCTTTAGGTCAATGCGCATGGAGGATACTACTATACCGTCATCCATACTTGCCCGCACGCGGTGGATGAAAGCATGGACAGCTTGCTGCGCACTCCTGCCCAGCCTTGCCACTGAACTGGGACTCGCAGAGCTGCCCCCGCGTCTCCACCTGGAACACCATCCGGTTTGCCATCAACCTCTCCAGCGCCTTGCCTAGGATTCTCGCATGGTGTTCGACGGCCCGGTACGACTTTGGGTGGGTCCTATCCTTCCTCGCCGGCTTCACCATAGGGAACACTTCCGATTCCTTGAAGATCCGGGGAAAGAGGGCAAGGTGAATCAAAGATTTGAAGAGGATGCGTACCCATGGACCCAGCACCAGCCAACGCAACTTGATGAACCCCATCTACACCCCGTCCCAGTGCCTGCAGTCCATAATGCCTAGAGCTTAGGCCCCCTACGTATGATTAATCCCTAGAGTGTAGGGGGCTCCGAATTCTGCCAGATTTTCGGCTGAATCCTAGGCATGTGGGGAATAATAATATCCCAATAATATTCTGTGGGCCAAGACTTTAGCATTGGGCCCATTCTGACCTAGGGCTACTGCCCGGGACTACCATGGGGTAGGTGCGGGTATGTTAATATTTCAACACCTACATACTAGGACTTAGCTGACCGGTGTCAAAATATTTGCCTAACCATGAAGCCACAAATGGGCCGACCACTAGCAATAATATTGTTGCACCTTGGGCACTGTGTTAAGCCGATGGGTTCCATAATATTCTGAGCTCAGCATGATGGGACTTGGCCCATCAGGCCCCAGGGGGACCAAAATATTATTCATCTTCACAGTTTTGGGGTCGGCCGACCACCAACAATAATATTATTTGACCTACACATTACTGTTGGGCAGATACTCCCAATGATATTTTGAGCCCAGGAAACCGGGACTCAGCTGATCTATCTTTGAAGGACAATAATATTGTTATACCTACTGGCTTTAGCATCGGCTGACTAGTAAAATAATAATATTACATCTGGTGTCAGTGCTCGGCTGATGCTCCCAATAATATTTTATGCTTAGGAGAGTGAGGTTCAGCCCATCCATATTCTGGAAGCTATAATAGTATCATGCCTAACACCCCTAGGTTCAGCTGACCAGTGCCAATAATAATATTGCGGCCAGGTACCACTGTTCGCCTGATCAGTGTAATAATATTTTGGGCCCAAAACAATGAGGGTTGGCTCATCAATGTTTTCACAGGTCAAAGCGTGCGCAGATGGAGGAAGGGGGAATGGCTGCATCCCGAAAGAGCATGGAGACACAGCGGCGAGTGTTGCAGGGTGGTGTAACGAGTCTGTAGCCAGTGCGAACGAGAAGCTTGCCCTCCTTCTTCCAGGGCTCCTGCAGGCATATTATGTCGAACTTTTGTTTCTTGAGCAGGATCTCTACCGGGTTTTTCGAGCACCACGAGTTGTATGATGTGGATCATCATAAATGTTTGTGCAGCCGAAGTGCAGGGGAGGGCGACGTAGGGAAGGGGTCACTGAGATTGAGGGACGGCGATAGAGGGGAGAGAGAGGGGTCGTTGTCGGAGTGGGGCTTGCGAAGTGCGGGGTGTATCGTGACTGCTGGTCGAGGGCGCAACAAAGCTCCGTCACCCGCTGTGTTTGCCTATCAGCGTGTTCTTTCCTAACCGGACAGAAAAAAAAACCTCTTGATCTCTAACCACCACAAACAACGTCGAGTGGCACCAACTAACTGCCCAAATTCCACCCACACCTTCAATGTCTACACACGGAACGCCCAGTGCGGACCGTACAAGTCGACCCCCTAACCCCGGAACACCCATCGCGTCGCCGTCTTCGACGTCGATCAGTGATCCGGGTCGAGTGGCAACCGTGGCACCAAACCCCCTCGATGACTTAATCTCACTCGTATGCTCCTGGAGTGGACAGCCCAAGATGAAGAACGGCGACAAGAACAAGGCAATCGCTCTAGCGGAGGAGGCGCGTGCGCAACGCGCGGGTGGCACCCAGCCCGCGTCCACCATGCAATCGCTTCTGACCACGGCGAGCACCGCCGCCGCGGTTCGCGACTTCTCGCGTCAAGTCCTGGACGCCGTCAAAGAGGGGTTGAAGGGCCTGGCCCCTCTTTCCCCCGTCGACGCACACCAACAACAGCAACACACGCCACTGCCCACGCTCGCGCCACGTCCGAGAGCCCCTCAGCCTCCGGCAGAGCTTCTCGTCACCATCTCGATGGCGAAGGCCGACCGCAAGTCGCCTAACCGCACGCGCAGCCCGGCCGACCTCAAAGCGCAAATCGAGGCGGCGATGGGCAAGCTTGCAGCACCCGGTCTCCGCGGCGGGAAAGTCCACAGCGTCCGCAAGCTCGCGAACGGCAACATCCTGGTCCAAGCCAACACGGAGGAGCAGGCCAACCTGCTACTCCTCCATGGGCAGGAGTGGATCACGCTCTTTGAGCCTGATGCGTGCGTTCACCGAAAAACTTTCACGTTGGTCGCTAATTACGTCCCGACTTCCTTCGACCCGAGGGCGGAAGGCGCGAAGACGGCGGTCTACCACGACAACCAGGGGACAATCCCGTCTCCCGGGGCCATCAAGGACTTGCGCTGGCTTCACGAGCAGAAGGAGGCTTCAGTGAAGAAGAAAGCCTCCTCGCTGGTGATTGTACTCGACGACGTAGCGGCCGCGGATGCTCTCATTACTCGCTCGCTCTCCCTAGTTGGTACCTCGTGCCCTGTCTCCTACTACATCCCCCCACCCCTCCAATGCTACCACTGTCAAGAATTTGGCCATATGGCCAAGGCGTGTTCCGCCCGTAAGGACCCTGCCACCATTAAGTGCGCCCGATGCGCAGCCCCACACGCAACGCGCGACTGCGAGTGCCCGAGTACACCTCGGTGCGCCAACACGAGGACGTGCACGCACATTGCGGTGCGATGCGCTAACTGCGGAGGACCTCATAAGGCCTTCGCAAACTCATGTCCTGTCAAGGCGCGCGCGATCGCGGCGTCCGCCTCACGCCGCCCGGGCCCTTATGTTGCTTCTGATGTGCCTCCCGCGCCCCAGGCGCGCGAACGCAGATGAGCGACGAAGTCCCTCAGTGGCTACGAGTTCGGGACCTCAATTGCTGCAAGCAACCGGAGGTCCTGATGTCTCTCCTCAATGATACCAGCCCATCTAAGTTCGACGTGCTAACCGTACAGGAGTTGCCGTACCACATCGCGGCCAGGGCCTCGTTTCAGCATAAGGACTGGCACTTAATCCTGCCTTCCAATGCTCATTTACGACGACGAGACCAACTGATACGCAGCGCCATCTATGTCAATAAATCTATCCCATCGGACTCGTACTCTCAAATCCACCTCAAGTCTCTTGACGTAGCCGGCCTACGCTTTGCTCCACATGACTCTTTCCCTTTTCGTATTTATTCTGTTTATAACCCTCCCAAGTCTGACTCCACTATTTCTTTCATGCGCAAT